GCGGGGCCGAGACGGGCCCGGATATCCACGTCGTACCTTTCAGTTTGTCCACCAGTCGCTCCTTTGCTTCATTCTCTTTCTTCCTGCATTTACTGTTCTAAGCGCCGGGGAGACTATGGAAAACGCGAATCCGATTTTATAAGCTCATCTGATGCATGGTCCCCCAACTTGCGTTGACAGTTCGGTCTGGATTGTTTGCTGCGAGGGGCTGTCCTGTGCATTGTAGAATGTTGAGCATCCTCCCTGGCTTCTACTCACCGGAAGCCAGTAAAACCCCCACCCCTGCGTTGTGATAAGTGTCAGCAGACATTGTCAAATGTCTCCCTCACAATCCCTGGTCTAGAGAGAGAAGGGAGAGACTGACAATAGAGTGACAAAATCATAAGGAATTATAATAGGTATTATGAAAGAAACAGCCTGCTGGGAAAGTGAGTATGGGGGGCTACTGGCTTGGTGGGGAGCCCTACAGTTAGGCAAAGACCTGACAGAAGTAACCAGTCTTGGTGACACTGCTGGAAGAGATTTCAGGAAGGAACCAGGAGAAAGGGATTAGCGCACCGGACTGAGCACTGGTGAGGTGGTAGAGAGGCAAGGTTGAGGAAGGCCAGACAACTCCACAGGGTAGAGGCCAGTGATTGTATTGGGCTTACAAGCAGGCTGTGGAGGACTTGATGCACAGAAGATGGATGAGGTCTAAGTCTGGAGCCTTCTGGGTTGTGTGCTGTGGGGGCTCACTGGAGACACAAGAGGCTGTCGCAGGTAGGCCGAGGTGGTCAGCTGAGGCTGAGGTCCAGGGCTCTGGGGTTCCACCCTTCTTTGCTGCCTCACTTGCTTAGGAGCTCCATCTAAGCTGAGCTCGGTACTACATGGCTCTCAGGCAGGAATATCACCTCGAGTTGGAGGACAGCCTGGGCAACATTGGTGAGTTCAAGGCCAGACTGAACTTGATAGCAAGATCCTGTCACAAAAAACCAAAACCGGGGCCAGGGATTTAGCTCAGTGATAACCACTGCCTACCTCAAAAGTGCAAAGTCCAGAGTTTGATTCCCCAGTACCCCCCAAAAAAACAAAACCAAAAAAAAAAAGTCCCAAACCACAAAAAAGGAGCTCCATCTGCCTGGTCTGTCTGCACCTCTATCTTACCACCTCTCAGCCCCCTCATGTACACCTAGGCCTTCTCTTTTCTGTGCTGCTAACACCTGGTCTTCAAGAGGCCTATGGTTCCTTCTTATTCCTTCTCTCGGCCTCTCCCTTCCCAGACCCCTTTTCTGTGTGGCAGGCCCAGCCTATCTGTTCTAAATCCCTCCTTTTTCCTTTCTGGGCATTCACAATTCTTTGTGGAATCTTTAGTCTCTATGTCCTGAGGTTCCTGCATCTCTTCACTGCAGTCACTCCAGGAAGCCAGAACTTCATTCTGAGGGGAAGCAGGGATATATGCAGCCTGTCTGAGGTGACAGGCCAGGAGGGTGTGGCCAGGAAAGGCAGCCCAACCTGTGAGGTTCCTTGAAGTTACTCCCTGTGGCTTCAGGGTTTGAATGGAAAAGATAAGGGTCTGAAATACCCATGGAGAAGTACCTCTGATAGATGGATTGGAGATTAGTGGGGCTTCCTCTCTGTCTCCCCACCTTGGCTCTTAGCTCCTCCAGGGTGAGACTCACATTTAGCTCAGCATGTCCATAATCTCTAGTACCCACTGGCACGAACCTTGGCCTGCAGTTAGACAAAGAAATGCCCAGTGTGAGAAATGGGAAGAAGGTGCAGCTAAAGAGCCTACACTGGTCAGGAGGGTACAGGCAGCCCCAACCCTGTGATGCAGTCACTTCCTTCCTTGGCTTGACGAAGGGTTGACTCAAGGGCACGGCAAGGCTCCTGGGTTTGGCTGGTAGTGGTGAAGAAATCAGAAGGAACAGAGTTTGAATCAGCCATAGTGTGACTTCCTATTGGCCAGGTGCAGGGGCCAGCCTCTCCGCCTCTCTCAGCCACCACTTTGAGCTTTTTTTGTTTCTTTAGAGACAGGGCTTCACTCTGTAATTCAGGTTGGCAGTGGACTCACTGTGTAACCCAGGCTGGCCTCTGGCAATCTTCCTGCCTCAGCTTCCTCAATGCTGGGATTACAGATATGTACCACCACACCTAGCTCCACTTTGAGCTTAGTGAGGAGCTGCCATTAGAAAAGCTGTCACTATTTCTCACATGTCACCTCTCACATCTCCTTCCAGATTTGTGTCCGTCTCTGCTTTGTGTTATGGTCATGAATCTAAGACAGTTGAGGGCAAGCAATTCACCCAACCACACATCTGTTTAAGTGGAGAAGGTGGGATTTGAATCTCGGTCTGTCTGAGTCTGGGGCCCGTGTCCTTGACCACTCTGTCACACTGTGTCTATGACGCCTACTTCAAAGGGTCCATGAGAGTGTGTGTGTACAGTGCCAGCATGTGCCTACAGCTGGTGGGTGAATGTCTTGCTGTGAACCAGGGTTCTCGCAGGCCTGGTCTTACTAATAGGTGGGCCCCTTGTATTTTACCAGCCTTCTGGAGAAGGACCCACCAATCCTTTGCCCTTCAACAGATGCCTGCAGTGTCCCCAGAGTGTCAGTCCCAGGGCAGAGAAATGTGGTTGTTCCCTGGGGCAGTGCGCTGCCAGCTGGGGGCAGATGAAGAACAGCCACTGGAGGCTAGTGTTGGTGTGGGGGCTGGTGCTAGGAAGCCCTGGACAGAATGAGACTGCAGTCTGGAAGCTGGGGAATGGAAATGAACCAGTCCCAGGGGAGGGTTTCAGGGTAGAAGGGGCGGCCTTGCAGAATCCAGGACTGAGGGTCAAGGGACTCTCTGAGTGCCAAAAAGAGATAGCGGTCAGGGCCATGGATGGATGTGGCTCAGTGACATATGCTTGCCTGGCAAGCGCAAGGTCCTGAGTTCAATCCCTGCTGGTGGTGGTGGGGATACTGGTGCTTAATGAGAGGTGGCGTGGCACAGGACCCTATGCATTACCAGAACCGCCCCAGGGAGTTTGTGCTGCTTCCCAGCTTCTTTTGGGCAATAAGAAAGAGAAAGTGAAGGCATGCAGAAAGCGGTGAGAAACCTGCCTAAGGGATCCTGAAAGTGTAGGGTGGGCCTGGGCTGGACCGGGCACTTGATTATCTGGTGAAGGTCCAAAATCTGTTCCCAGAAGTTTGAGACTGCTTTGATTAATTTGGGAGAGCTAGGCACATGCTTCCTAGTTCTGCCCCCTCTAACTGGGTGTTGGAACAGGAAGACAAATGCCATCTCTTCCCATGCCCCAGATTTTGCTGTCTACCTACTCTGGATCTGGCCAGTCCTTCCTCTAGGAAGCCCTCTCGGCTTCCTCCAGACTTGGCCTGGTCCCTGCACCACAAACAGATAAGAGTTCTGGAAAGGGAAGGACAGGGACATGAGGCCAGCACCAAGGGCAGTGAAATGCATTCCTGCTGGGCAGTGGGGTTGAGTGGGAGGGACTCTTTCCCTCTGGTAGAGGGAGCCAGGGAGGCTGGAGAGACTCAGCCTGGGCAGGCAGGGTGTGGGGTACAAGAAGAAAGCCAAGCTGGGTGTGGTGACACATTTGGGAGACTGAGGCAGGAGGATCACTGTGAGTTGGAGGCCAGCCTGTGCTACTTAGCAAGTTCAAGGCGAGCCTCAACTGCATAGGAGACCCTATCTCAAAAACAAAACAAAAGAAACAGCTGGGGCATGGTCATGCATAGAGGCTGAGGCTGGAGGATTGCTGCCAGTTCAGGGCCAGCCTAGGCTACATGGAGAGTTCAAGGCTAGCGAGATCCTGTCTCAAAAAAAAGGAAACTAAGGAAGGGAGAGCCAGTGAAGGGACCTCTGCAGCATTGGGGCAGTGAGTGTGGAAAGCAGGCAAGAAAGGTGAGGTGGTTAGGGCAGTGGTTGGGCTAGGGTGCTAGGTGACAGGAAAGACTGATCAGTCCTCTGCCCAGGATCTGCAGTGTCTAAGGGATCCTTAGGACTGAGGGAAGCAGAGCCAGGGACACTCCAGGCCACAACCCCTCCCCATGTCACAGTGC